CCAAATTGGTGTCGTCTGCAAACTTACTGAGGGTGCACTCGATCCCCTCATCCAGATCTTTGATAAAGATACTAAACAAACTGGCCCCAAAACTGAGCCCTGGGGAACACCACTGTGACTGGCCGCCAACTGGGCTTAACTCTATTCACCACAACTCTTATTTGCCTAACTGCATTAAACCCAAGATAATTACAGAAGCGTTTAAAAGTTAGATACAGATCAGAAATTACAGTTGCTTAGAAGTAAAAGTTCATAATGCAGAATCACAGAGCCCTTGCAATTAATTTACAGCTTTACTTAAATTAATCACCTTTATCTAAACTCCTCATGGATGCCCTGGAGCATACCAAAAGCATCCTAATTTAAATAGCTGTTTTTAAATAAACCCTGACGGGACTTTGCTCGGGAGGTACAGCACAGTGTTAGCAAGTCTGAATAAATGGTGTTGGCTTTTTATGAAAACAAATTGGATTAATCTCAACAATTAGTCATAGGAAAATGCATTTGCATTTATATTAAAAGAATACATAGCGTGCCCAATGAGAACATTGTTCTCAACACAGACGTAGTCTCTGGTGCCTGTTGAATTAAAATGCTTCAGAAATATTTCAGCCTGCAGGTAAACAAACAAGCCGTGGGATCATGTGAAAATGAGCAAACTGATTTTGGCATTTTCAGTCAGCGGGACATTTGCCGGATGCGTGTTCCCGCTTCTCAGAATTCCCGCCCTTGCCTCACTGCCCATGCAGACGCGGGCTTCTTAAATGACGGCAGTGTGAACCTGTGGTTTAGCTCAGAAGGAGCTCAGAAGCCCCATTAGGGTTTACAAGCCTGCAGTTGCTTTTAAACCCAAAGGGATTTCCGCTGATCGTGGCCTTTCCAGCCCTTCCCATCATTACAGAGGAAGAACCTCTTTTTATGAGAGGCAGATGGCAAACAAAACCCCACACTGTCTAGTCTGCAGGTGAGCATGCCATTTATTTCTGGTGGCTCTACAACACAACTGAAGCAAAACATAGACACCGTGAAGAGTCCTTCACGTGTCTGGTGCACCTAACAGAAGCAGCTGCTGATGGCTGTTGACACACAAAGAAGCTGTCTAAGGATCCTCTGTTTTGAGTAGTTGTCCATTTGTGTGTGAAACAATATATGCCTTAACCTGCTCTAGCTGTGACCTCGCAGGATGACTGGAGAATAGTTTCCTTGCATGCTGGAGAAAGCTATGTCTAGATCCTTTCCTCAAACGGCTGTCACATGTATTCAGGGTTCTCAGAAAGACTGCATGGTGTTGCCTGAATTTTGCAGATAGATTCAAATAAGAGGTCTGAGAAGGCACAACTACACTGTATGTTACATTCCGGGGGAAAAAACCACACACACCCCCCCCAAAAAAAGGAAAAAAAAACCCCACCAAACCAACAAAGCAAAACTGGAGAAAATGGAAAAAGAGTTAAATATATTATTTTCCAGTTTTTGTAGACACGCCCCCTTAAGTTTTGAACTAAAATAATTTAGTATGTACATTTGAGATTTGCACCAGCCCTTTTTCTTCATGTTGGACATAAGTTTTCTCTTGGATACCCTGCATGGCGGAGGGCTGGTGGGCTGCTGCGCTGTGCGCTGCTGGCTGAAGGAGTGGGCGAACAAAGGTGTTTTATAAACACTACAGGCAGCAGAGATCTCCTGTCTGGGCTTGTTTTCACTCATAGGGACTAAACCGCTTCTCATTTCTTCGCTGCTGTTTTGTTTCTAGGGCATCAGGAACTGTTTATACAGCAATCGACATCGCCACAGGACAAGAGGTAAGTGTCAACAGTCCCAGCAGATTTTGCAGGTATTCAGTGCTTTCCCCTCTGGTGCAAACTGTGGATGGGGCTTTTGGGTCGCCAGGAGATCCTTACTGCAAAGGCTGTTCCTCTGAAGCACAGACTAGTGTGAGCCTGCAAAATACATCTTCTGCTGAGGCTGTTCCTCTTAAGCATGGACTAGTGTCAGCTGGCAAAATACATCATCTGCTCTCTTCAGCTTTTTGGTGAAAGCTCTTTAAGGGCAAAGTGGTTCTGTGCCTCAGTAACTGAACACTTACTGTGGCTATCCACTTTCCAGCAACCATTACAGTGAGGTGTTGATTAATTCTTGAAAAAGTGCCTGCGAATTCCTGGGGGGAGGTCCTGGTCCCCCTGGAATCAGTAAGAGCTTTGGTGTTCTCGGTGCTTGGGCTGATGCTTCACCCATAGCTTTTAAGGCCAATTGTAAGAGAATTGTCTTCAGAACAGGTCGGTGCTCTCCACAGTATTGTTGGTCCCAGCCTGGTACCATGTTACATCATCCCTGAATGGGTATTTTAATGGAGAGAAATCTGTAAAGAAATCCCAGCAAGCTTTTGGGCCTGATAAAAACTATAGAATTTTTATTGCCAGTGTAAATGTATTGGTTGAGAAATTGTTATATCTCTGTTGCCCAGTGTGCATGAAGTTGTGCTATTACAGAGAATATTGGTCTGTATATACAGTTTAACTCTGTACATTTACAGCATAAAACCTGCCTGTGGACCTGGCCATAGATCGGTTAGCAATACAGATTGTAAAATCTAAAGATCTGTCATAATGAGAGGTCTCAGGAGAACCCTAGGGGTGGTTGCAGATTCCCCTATTGCTGTGAGGAATAAATAGCTTCATTATGTCGCTTAATTTCAGACAGACTTTGTCCTTATTAACTACCAGAAAGAATGCAAGGAGGGAAGCGGTATCTTTCCGAGAAGAACACGCTAGCTCTGTCTTAATTACTAAATATATTAACGCATCAACTAACTAATGGAGGCTGCCGTCATTCAGTCCCAATTTATCTTAATCACAGGTTCAGACAGTAATAATGTTTAGCATTTTTTCCATCATGTGTTTCATCTTCAAAGTATAATGCAAGACCTAATTAAGGAGAGATCATGTTTAGGACGCACGCTATTTTGTGTTTTAGTCATACTGACGCTGGTTGACACACACACTGACAAATGAGAAGACATATCATAGAATCATAGAATAGTTTGGGTTGGAAGGGATTTTTAAAGGTCCTGCAGATAAAGTATATCGAGAGCAAAGATCTCTCCTAAACTATACAGCCATGTTTAGGTCCAGTGTCAGTGACAGCCCATTACAGCCCGTGAACTGGTCACAGGGAAGTGGGGGTAAGGGGGGTGAGAAACAGATCTTGAAGGAAACCAGTGTTAAATCTGACAGTCCCTGTAGTGGCTGATTTAAAGTGGCATCTTAACCTTCATTTCCTTCTCCAAGCCTGAGTTTTTGAATATATAAAACCTGCCTGAAAATCTGGCTAGAAAACCAGGAATGAGAGCAGAGGGGTGGTCCCTTTCATGCCATGTCAAGAGCAGAACTAAACAGAGGGGGAGGCTGGCCAAACTGTGTATGGAGGGAACAAGAGGCAGATTTTAAATAGCCACGGGGCCACATCTCCCCAGAAGGTGTGTGTCGGGTAGGAGGGCTCTTCTGGGACCGCTGGGGAAGATGTATTTGTAGGAGTCCTTGGCTGGAGCTGAGCTGGATGGCAGGGAGGGAAGTAGGGCTGAGCCCAGAGGGACGGGGCTGGCAGAAGCAGGCTCAGCAGTGAGGCCAGGACAAAAAGCTCAAGTGGAGACCGTGGCTGCCCGGGGGAAGATGGTGCTGAGTGGAGGAGCCAGGATGAGGCAGAGGCAGGATGGTTACAATGGTT